AAAAAAAAAAAAGAAAAAAGAAAAAAAAAAGTGGCATGTTTACTAACCTGAAACTTTCTTCAGCAAATCTCAGGTCACTATATGATGCTAGTTTGAATGTAATTCCTTGGGTACTACTGAACTCAGCCCCGATAACAATCATCAACTGCAATTCAAACTTTTTTTTCCTCCTCATYGCTCTACACAATCTAGGTTTGGATGTTTCCTAGAACACATTACTTTCAAATTCAGTTTAAAACCTTTTTCATTGCACATGATGGATTAGCTTCATTTAATTTATTGTTATACCAATACATGAAGCACATGAAAAAAATCATTTGAACTTTGTTACTTAAATCTGAAGAAACCAGATACAGCCCATTTTTCATATATCCATTTTGCTGTATCTGTTGTGAAGTCTTAAAAATTAATATTATGCAGGAGTGATAGCTCTAATGGTAACAGATACTGGAAAAGACCATTCCTGACCTAGCACTAATAATCAAGTTACACTCTGCTATTTTGTCAAAAATACTAGTCATTGTGTTAATTGCAAGGAGCAGGCTACATCTGTTCACAATGTGTGAGTCAAGAACCAACCATACTCAGTGTTATGTACTCAAAGAACACAACTACACCAACTTTGCAAAGAAAAGTACACCCAATTTTAACAAAGTATTTAAAATCAAGGGTATCCATTATTACCTTCCTTTACTGAAAGCTGCTAAGTTAGAGAATACTGTTCATATCCACTGAAAATATTGTTTCCTAGATGCTGCAAATAATAAAAAGCTTTTCCATTGCTACAAGCAGACAGCAAGATAAAAAAAAAATTACCTCAAATTATTCTTTATGTCCATTCACATATAATTTTTGCCATGATGATAAATACACCACAGTAGTTTATTCTATAATTTCTTTACAGGCCTACCAGATGACCATCTCTTTTCTAGTACAAAAGCAAGTCCAGCAATTTTTTTTGAGTCAGCTAGAAGTGTAATTTTTTTCCACAAGTTTTGCAAGCTTCTTCATACATGGTATGAGTTTAAGGCAGTCAAGATTCAGGAAACTATACAGTAAGACTGATAAAGAAAATAAAACACTTATTCCCTGCAATGAGAGTGAACAAAGGTAGCTGTTTCAGGTATAAAGTATCCTGAAACATAAATTTCATGTGCTTGGCCACAAGATTAACACAGATGGCAGTTACAATCTCTCACCTAAATCAGTGTGCAGTACATCCACTTTTCTGGCTGTAACACTGCTGTAACAGATAGCTCACCCTGAAGTATCATTTCTGAGCACATCTTTTGGTAACCCTGTTAAGTAAGGCTTAAATAAACATTCTTGGATGAAAGAAGATTTACTGATCATTAATTAATTACTGAGATTACATTGATATCTGTTAAATKGTTCTCCTATGGACAGGCTGCTAACATTGCCAAATCATTATAAATATTGAAATTTGTTAGCAGTGTAAATTTTGCACACAAGGGATGGCAGACCTGAAACTGAGGTTGCATAAAGAGAAGGGTAGTGCCTAGACTGGCAATCTCACATATTTGGTTTGAGAATAAAATTTACTCATTCCATGAGAAAAGAACGCCTAGCTTGTAATTAATGATATATGCATGCTGTTAGTAATTCACTACTAAGTCATAACATCATTGGGAACAGACACTTGTTAAAATGAAAATGTAATAAATGGGAAGTTAAAGAACCACACTGACAGAATATTCTTGTTGTCAGAAATCTACGCTTATTCTTTAATCACCAGAAAGTTGCCCTTAATGCCTTGTTAGTGAACCACTCTGGAACTTGGTCTATTTTCTGAGCTCTGCTGTTATTCAAGGAATGTGTACCAGATCTTACCGCACACTACCTGTTGGGAGGAAAAGGTTAAAACCAGAAGATTTGGTGAGGAAGAGGGAATAATAGTTTTGCTTAAAGTGACCTTGCGGCTGGGATTCTAAAGATGTCAGTGTGGGGAAAAAAAGTGTCCATTTATTAAGCCTAGTATGGTTTATCCTCTGCCTGTTTTAAGTGGAATTCCTGTGAAGGAAGAATCTCACAGCCACAAACAAAGCCTTTTGTAGCAGTGAGGCAGGCAGAGACACTCCTGCCCACTAGGATGAGCTAAGCCCCTGTGTGTCTCTGCCACCCTGAGTTGTGAACAAGGTAATTAAATAAATCTACTCTGCATTTTAGCTGTGACTTGGTTACTTGTATATGTTCATTCACACCTTACCTAACCGGCACTGACAGGAACAGACATGGATCAATCCTCACAGCATCTTCCATCTTCCTACAGAAATAGACCTTCACGTGTGATCTTCCTCATCATCTCACATTTCTTACTGAAACTGTTCCATCTCCTATAAATGAATTGCTACTTATTAAAGGAAAATGAGGAGGAAAAGATTCTTTGCCTCAGCATTCTAGGATAATTAGGCAGGTTATTATTGGAACACAGATTTTCATGTTCTACAAATAATAGCACAGTTATTAGAAGAAATGCAACAATCCAAAGATGCACAAAAACTCCCTACCTATTGAGCAGCCCTTGGCAGTGTGCCAGCAGGTCTGTCCAACATGGCCCTGGGGTTAGAAGAGACTGACTAAAGCTTGAGGGCCTGTCATCTTACTCGCATTGGGAGCCACTAGTTTTATGCAACCACACTAACAAAACCACATACAGATGTGGGATACCTACAAAGACAGAAAGCAGCACCTGATACAAAGTGCTGGAGTCTTCATAAAGCTTAAAATGTGGTACTCTGGTGCCTAGGTGTCTTTTGGAATTTCCCAAGAAAAGGCAACTTTCCCCTTTCTGTAGTACTGTAATACTGAAACTAAGGGCTTGAGTAGTACTGCATTGTACAGTGATTTTGTTATTTGCTGYGAGAAATACTTTAGAGACACTTACATGAGATGGTCTATTGTATGACCACATCACCTCAATTTCCAGTTAGTTCTTCCCGAATGGCAAATCTGGAAAAATCATAGCTGCAAAGCAGAACACAATGGTTAAGTTCAACATTGATTGGCATACTATGAATAGCTGCATGACCTAAGTGCAAAAATGGCAATTATAAATGACAGTTGGAATAGTTATCCGGCATTAGCACTTACATTTCTCATAGTGAGGCACTACATTATTGTTATAAAAGTACAACTTTATGCAAGATCAAACTTCTATGCCCAAGTTTGAAAGAGTCTTGATTTTTCAAATTAAGTTACAGGGTTATGGCTCTATTCTTGAGTGTGCCTGCAGATGTTATCTTAGCTCCGCTGAGTATATTGGTGATTGTCTCTTCCCTAAAACTCTTTGTGGTTCAGTAACCAGACATCCCAGTGACAGAACTCCCCCAGAATCCAATCTCATAGTCTGTCCAAACACAGCGGTGTTAACACAAAACACATCTCACAGTGACTTTCAATTAAACAGTCAGTCAAGGAGACTGAATTCATGGTGCTCRCATTTTCATAAAGCATTGTAGTAGCAGCAGCTGCTCTGAAGTATAATATTAAGTTGTAAAGCCTCCTCAGTCAGCAGAAATTCAAATGCACATTTTAACAAAGACAAGGTGATCAGAAAGTTATATGGGGACTTTGAGATTTCCTATCCTGCAAATGGGAAACTTATGGTAGATAATTAAGTATTTACATGACAGAAGAGAGAATAAGGGAAACATCACAATAGCCTGTTGATAAAAAAGCTCTCTGAAAAAGAGTTCTGGATTCCAAACCCAATTTTTCTTATCTTCTACTAAATTTTACTGGGGGAAAAGCATTAGATGGGCATCTAGCCTGAGGGTTGAATCATGAAAACTGCAGAGAAATAGGCACCTTACTTTAGTCTGCAGGAAAATTTTGAAGAGTCTTCTTTTGCCAGCTGTCTTTTTCCGTGCACCTCAGTCCCCGCATTSTACCTTTTGTTGGTATTAGCAGCTGTGTGGCCATAAAGTATAACAGAACAGTTTGCTTACTCACATTCTGAAAAAGAAAAACATTATTTGTTTTTAGGCAAACAGCAACCTTATCCATTTTGTGGAGCTGCGTGATCCCCAGAAACAACTGCCTAACTGAAGAGATGCAAGATGTAGGTAGCACCACCCAATTGGGGCAGCAAAATCTTTGGCCAGCTGAAACCATCCTTGAGAGATGGACAAAAAAAATAACCTTGTCTTCAGCCCTTCACAATTAATTTTTAATTGTTATTAACACTTAATTGTTCCTTGTCCAATATAGTTGCTTTTTATGGATTTTATTACCCCTGCTATAACTATGATTGTCAAACACTTACAAGAACGATGACGGTATGATATACATACCTGATGGTATGTATATCCCAGCAAGCCCTGGATCTGTTTGTTGCTGCTTTTGCATCAGAAGTAATGAACCGCACAGCAGAACCCATGGAATGGGGTGCAAGCAACTGTTATTCACAGTGCAAAGTGCAGATGGAGGTCGAACAGGTTAAACTCTTGGATCTGGCATGAAGCGTGCACAGCCTGCCAGTCCTGGTACAGGAACAGTAATCTCCAGCAAAGGGACACAGCAGGCAGGAAGAAGTACCACTGCAGAAATTAGGTAAAGGCTGATAACACCCTTAAGCTGAAGTGGCAAAGTGATGTTAYCCTTAAAGAACCATTTTTGAGGCTAGCACTTTCACTAAGCACTAACAAAAACTGTCTTAAATCCAGCTGAGAAGAGAGATCACAGGACTTTTCACTCCTTTTTTACAGGCAGATTTGTAAGGATAGGTACAGATTGAATGTCAATAGCTGCAGTTCATTAGCACTACAGCTACTCCAATGTAATTTATTGTCTACTCTATAACATACAAATTAATCTTGAGTAACAACCACATTAGTAAAACACATTTGACTGCATATGAATTAAACTTGTTTATAATACTTTTTATATCCACCCTTTTAAACTATATTTTGCTACACCTATTACTGTAAATCCTTCAGGAAAAAAACCCACATAGCTAAAGAAATTATTACACAAGGAAAGTAGGAAACTGTCAGTTCTACATTGCTACTCAATGCTTAGGAAAAATGCTGCAGACAAAAATATTTATTTATAGGAAGTTTCAGTTCCTTTATAGTTTGCTATGTATCAGCCTGCCAACCCAATGACAAATTTCACAGATGATCCATGATAATTTGTCTTGGAATTTTTCTTGTAACAATGTCTATCCAGCAGCACCATTAAGTTAGCAGCACAACCGATTTTATTTTCAAATAGCCTGTCATATTGTATTTAATAAATAACCACACATACCATTAAGCATCTACTTATGAACAATAAGCACTCATGATCTAGCTAAGTTTAATTCTGTACTACTGTGACACAGTAATCTACTGCTTCAGTAATTATGCCACTAACAGGTCACAGCATACAGAACTGGAATCTTCCCTGCCAAATACTATGTGACAAAAGAATAGTACAGTCTACACCATGCATGAAGTAAACTTCAAAAAGAAAGGTAGGCAACAGCAGAACCTGGATGGGTATAGCCAGAATGTGTCAAGAAAGCTGTTATGACAGGTCTTCTGACAGCAAAGAAAGCAAAATTAATATAAACATTTAAATAACAAATTACATATTTGAAGAAAACATAAAGTACCACTAATGGCAGCAGAACAGGAAAAACACAACTGGGATTCTTCTGATTATAGAGCAAAAAGCCTTTCTCCTGTCCAGGAGGGGTAGGTTTATAACAATCTCTCTATACTTGTACTGWAAAAATAACAAGTTCAGGTCTTCCCATCTGTAGAAAAGAATATTCAAAAAACCCAAGGCTCCTGGATTTCTTGCTAAACTGAATTTCTTATTTTTTTTTCAGATCTTAGAATGGTGTTTTGAACTTAGAACTATAAAATACAACCCAGCATCACAACTACATTCAAGTGGCAAAGTCCATTGCTTTTTCTATTTACACAATACCAGCAATCATAATAATAAAATAGCAACAAATAGAACTAGAGTCAAAGTGTATTTCAGAAATTGTATGGCAAGTGTTTTCACCCTCTGCAAAGGGTGAAAACATGAAACTTCCTGCTCATCTAACACATGACATTTTTCTTTGCAGAGCACCAAAATCACCATTAGTAACCAATAAAATGCCCTGACATTTACAATACAGTTGTTTTTGTAAAGCTCTACCTGGAAAAAGTATCATCATCAAAACTTCTAGTAAAGATTTTTCCCTATCTTATTAGGATAAAGTAAAGAAGTCACCAGTAGCAGGGATTCCCTGAACTTGCACCCTTTGAATTTGCTATTGCTTTAATTTCACTGACCACCTATGACTGTAAAGGTACAAGCTAATCACACTGTAAAGGTACAAGCTAATCACAYTGCACCAGCAGCTATATTGACTTACATTGATTCCAATTGTCAGGGGAAAAACAGAAAATGAAAACACAGCTAATGTTGTTAAATGCACTAACATAAATGTTTGCTTCTGACTCAGCAGCTGAAACAATAATAACATAAACCACAAAATCCTGAGATTCAGTCACTTCTGATCCATGGACATTTCAGTTTTTGCTGTAAATTTAATGGAATTTACGTGGAGGAATGAACAGACCCCTCAATAAGAACATCTGTACTTCAGGGCTTAATATATATTCAGGGCTCTGCTGTATATTAGAGCTAGAGTAAATTTAACCATATAACATGAAGATGCTTTTTCCACAGACTTTGGAAATCTTGCACACATTCTGTGTTTCAAAATAAAAAAGACAGCACTATTAATGAGTTACAACAGTCATGATAAACTACAACAACAAATACTGATAATTTCAGCATCATGTTTTATTCTGTGAAGAGATAATAAATTCACTCCAGTTTATATAGTATTACTTATAGATTCCATCTAAAAATCAACTTTGAATTCTCTAAAACTGAATTATTCTTGAATGAGGCAGTTACAAATCAAAGAACGGGTTTCAGTGGAAACCTGCAAATGGTGAAAGTGACAGGGAAGTTTCTTCAGGAAGTACATACAAAACATTGCCAGGGTACACACAGATTGCTTTATTAAAGAACAATTTGATGCCATGCAAAAACAGAGCATAGTTCAGTTTTAGTCAGATCACTGAGCGAAGGCTCTTTTTTTGCCGGCATTACATGAAGAATTAATCTGGTAAGAAGATTCAGAAACAGAAAAAAAGACAGCTAAATTGAAGCTAATGAACCTTAAAAAGCCTCACAGCTTTACAGAGAGGATGCATTCAAGTGTACCACTAAATTTCAAATACTCATATCCTGTGTAGGTTTTTTGGTAGTAAAAGTTGGATAGTAAAAACTGAAAGATAAAACAGAAAGATTTTTTTGCAACCCCAACAGAAACTGTCATAGGTTTTGCTTACTTTTGACAAGTTGGTACTTAATATTTACCTTTCTTTAAAAATTCATGTGTCTGCTAAACATAACAGAACACCATTAACAACCTTTAAAGAAGTATTTTTAAGACAAAATATTAAGCCTGATATTTTTTAAATTCTGAATTCTGTCCATAACATCAGAATGGTACATTGTTAATACTATGATTTAATGTATTGTCAAATTAATGATATATCAAAATAATTTACACAAATAAACCCCTTCCTTTATAACTAATCCATCATCACAAAGCAACCCACATTATCAAACCACATCCGTTAGTACCTACGTCTCACAGAGACAAGTAATTTTCTTAGAATAACAGAATCAATAAGGTTGGAAGAGATCACCCGGTCCAACCTTTCACCAAACATCACCATGCTAACAAAACCACATCACTAAGTGCCGTGTCCAATCATTTATGGAACACCTCCAGAGACAGTGACTCTACCATTTCCCTGGGCAGCCCATTCTAATGCCTGACCACCCTTTTAGTGAAGAAACTCTTTCTTGATGTCCAACCTGAACTTCCCGTGGCACAGCYTGAGGCCATTTCCCCTTGTCCTGTTGCTGGTTGTCTGGGACAAGAGGCTGAGTCCCATCTTGCTACACCCTCCTCTCAGGCAGTGGCAGACAGTGATAGCCTTTTCTCCAGGCTAAACACCCCCAGCTCCCTCAGCTGCTCATCACAGGACCCTTCACCAGCTCCACTGCCCTTCCCTGGAGTTGCTACAGCACCTCAACATCTTTTTTGTAGTGAGGGGCCCAGAATTGGACATAATACTTGAGGTATCCTCTCACCAGTGCTGAGTACAGGGGAACAATCACTGCCCTGGTTTTGCTGGCCACACTATTGCTGATACAGRCCAGGATGCCAGTGGCCTTTGTGGCCATCTGGGAACATGGCTCATGTCCAGATGGCTGTCAATCAGAACAGATGAGTATGCTGGCTCATTCCAGATGGCTGTCAACCAGAACAGAYGAGTTGACTATTTAGCACTGTAACAGTGAGTTCAAGCTACACTGTTAYAGAGCACTCATAACTTCTGGCATACACAAGCTAGTACAGAGTGACATAAGCACTCTAGAAAGCAAGCCATGGATGTTCCTAAACCTCTTTCAGAAATGAATCCTGGAGGATTCAGCTGCAGCAATTTGAGACACTACTGCTCAGTTCCCAGTACTTAACCTTCTACATTCATAATCCACAGTGCAATCTTCAAAGTAACAACTACTGCAGTTTCATTAATCTATTTACACTTAACTGCCCAAGTTATCTGACGACAAAACAGCTGTGACAGAAGGCTTGTTGGTAGGACAGGTAGAAAACTTAAGCCTTTACAGCAGGATCTCCTCTGATGAAAGCTTGCTTTGGCCTGCAGTGAACACTGTACCATGACATGCTCTGAGGATCCAGTGACAGAACTGAATCTGCTGAATAAAACACTTGGTTGATGAAGTTCTATGGCAATCCATTAAAGATAGCTATTTTGGTTTGAATGGTTTATTTCCAGCTTTTAAAGATTCCAATTTGAAACAGAAGGCAATAATCAAAGACACAATACAAAAGCATCTGAACAACCTTATTAATACATTAAGGTGTGCTTTTATTACCCAAAATTTAAATAGAGAGATTAATTAAAATGACAAGACACACTCCTTTTACTTGCTCCCTGCTTTTGCCACTTCCTAGCTCAAGCTTAGCAAAGATTCAATCAAATGATCAGCAAGCCACCGATTTAAGAGAATGATCAAACAGATCTTCAAATACTTGTGGAATAATCCTCAAGAAGTTCTACTACAAATGAATCCTGGTGTCTCTAGACATAGAAATCTACAAAACMTGAAGCTGTAGGTAACTGTCACACTCCAGGTATTCAACTGCTCCTTTGCAGAGGTAAATGTGCTATAGGACAGGGCAAGTGCACAGCATATTAATGACAAGGAAATCACTGTGATTATGATTCCTAACTTAATTTCCAGTATAAAAAACAGGTGTCAGGAAGATTGCCAATTGTCTTCACATCCAGTCAGTCGACAAAAATTCCTTGAAGGTCTGTACCACCAGGGATGCTTGCATGTAATCTCTATTCAAATGTATTCTCAGCTGTTGTGGAACAAATTAGAATGGTCCATAAGGACTTCTTACCTCTTCATTAAAGCTTTGAAATAATCCCCACTACTCTTCAACCCCTTTCCCTTGCTTGTCAGCATTTTCATGCAATTTTTTCAAGAGAAAAGAAAACCTGGACTAAATCTTAGAAAGACAATTAAATATTTTCAACGTAAGTCCTATATGTAGAGTCATAGTTCCACTTCCAGCCCGTTATCCAGAYGTCTGACAAATGCATTTTTAAATGGCAAAGCAAAGGGCCTGTTCAATGGTTTTGGCTACTCAGTTCTTAGGAAAACAAGCAGACCATAAGAGCCATTAGATGCTTGAAACAACCATTTTAAGAAATAACAACTGGGGCAACTTAGCACTGTCCTCTTCTAAGTTGAGGTGCTAATAGGATAAAAAAAAAATTAAATGCAATCTACTACTTGCTCAGTTGGTCGACTAAGCAAAGGGCTAGAAACGATGAAGTGAAACTGAGTCAATCCTGGAATTTTATTACATGCAGCACCTAGGAAAGAAAGAAGAAAAAAATTCTAATTTGCTACATTTGGGACTAGTCTCTCTGTCATTGTATTTTATCATCTAAAGATCTAGCTACTAATTCTAGTGCAGTGGTATAATTATTCTTTTACAATCCATTTAACCCAGGACATCTTGAAAGCATTTAATTTTTAAGTTAAAATACAATACTACTGACTGTTGTAGCGCAATTAACGCCCTTATACTACAATTCAAAACAGTAACACAAGTCAGGAAGATCTCTCTCTCTCTTTCAATCCTGATTGATTTAATGAGTTCCTTCAACACTAATCTCTTAAACACAGAACTGTAGGAAGTAAGAGATCAAAGAATAAGCAAAGCAGTCTAACTAAATAATCCATATTGATTAGCCAATTGTACTTCCTACTGATCTAAGAGTTCACTAATGAGATGCCTGGCACAATGACTACTCTTAGATCACTTTGAAGCTATGCTTAAGATTCACATTCTCCCTCCCTTATGCCTTATCTAGGGAAGCCAAGGCAGAGGTTTTTTTAAAAAACCTTCAAATTAATCATATACAGTACAGGAAAACTCATGAAGGTTGTAAATATTTTTGGGTTTTGCTAAGACTTCCACAACTTTTGTGGAAGTCCAAGACATCGAAATGCAAAACTAAATTATCTCCAGTCTGCACTAGGATACAGCTGCCATGCTAACCAGAATTCTGTACTCTGAATGGCCAGTATTGCTGCAGTCTTCAAAGAATAATTAAAGACTTCTTTAAAATCCACCTTCAGTTTTGTACTTCTGTGATCTAGTTAGGGTCAACCACCTTTGTATGCAAAACAAAATACATACCATAACTTCCAGATGTATTGGCACAAATGATAGCACCAAAGAACTTCGGAGCATACGTTTTGATTCTGGAAATAACTTTCTGACAGGCTACTGTTGGATCTGTTCCCATCCTCATATATTCCACAGCTTGATAACTGAAAAAAAAAAAAAACAAACCCAAACCCAGATAATTAGCCATACTCAGTTTATATAATTTAAAGTAGCACAGAAGAGACCCTGATTTCTTTCCCCATGGAAAAACATGATAAATAATTTTTAGGCCAACTTCATATTGCAATTATCACTCAAGTTCTACATAAAAAGCAATTAAAAATGAGACCAGAAGGGACTGCAAGATGTCATCTATACCATCTATCACTCTATGGCAGCTCTTCTTCTAAGAGTAATCAAAATGAATTTCCTTTATATCTAAAGCATTTGCTTGAGATGAAACCTATTACATTTCCAAAATGCCCTGAGAAGTAAAAAATTACTTATGTTGCCATTTTCTTTCAGACTTGAAGATCAAATGATAACTTATGACATAACTTAGTGTTGWGAGCTAAGATTTCTCTTTTGTTTCCTTTCTTGGGAATTTTTCTTTCCCATTTTGTTGCTGGGATACACTAATTGCCAGGTCATCCTTTTGATGGGTGGGCGATTAGTGAAGACAATGGGACCTATGCCCCACCTAAACGATCTTGCTAAGCTCTGGGAGGGTATGTGTTTTGTGTGGTGGAGGGTAACTTCATTTCCTGCGTTGCTTCACTGGGAGAAGGAAGTCGACTGCTCTTTTTCGGCAGAGCCCAGGATCTCTGCTCATTTTTGGGTTCCTGTTTGCTGCACTGTGATCTTCTCCCCTGTGCCTTGCCTAGGACCCCCCGCAATTCCAGCTTCAGGGGTGAGCTCTGCTCCATCCCGTCTCACAGCCGCGGGATTCTGCTCGTCTCTTTGCCGTCCTGGGTTTCTTGCTGTCCAGAGGAGCACCGAGATCAGCGTTTCCGCTGTGAGTTTTGCAGAGAAACTTTTCTCCATCCACCTCTGCCATTTTTGTGTCCACCATTCCTGATGCAGGAGATCTGAGCCAGCTGGGACCCGCGGCACAGCGCCCCCTGCAGCCGCCRGGGAATCATCGCACTCGCCCTGCCCAGCCGGGAGCCAACAGCGCCCCTGCCGACAGGAACTGTAACTGCACCAAAGGGGAGGGTGTGTCTCTGTAAGGCTGTCACTGAGTTTGGGACTGAGCTGGTTGTTGCTATTGTTATTGTTACTTGTTTCACCTTGTTATATATATTAGTAAAAACTGTTATTCCCTTTTGCTCATATTCTTGCCTGAAAGCCCKTGATTTTTTCAAAGCTATAAYAATTTGGAGGGAATGGGGGTCGTATCCACCATTCCAAGGGGGGTCCCTGCCTTCATTGGCAAACACCTGTCTTTCAAACCAAGACACTTACAAATGACAAACGACATCAAGTCACCTCAATGAAAGATGCATATACGAAAACAAACTCTTGCTACACTAAGACTCTACAGATTGCATTAACAACAGATGTTATCAAAGTACAACAGAAAAGAACATCTCTTGCATTTTGAGACTCCCTATTATCTTTAATTTATTCTAACAATGAAATAGATTCAWGTTATCTAAAGATAACTATCTGAATATAAAACTATACTTCACAAGGATCTCTTCGCTAATCAAAAACTCAACAGAAGTTACCATGTCAAAGAAGGCATACTGTAAATATTAGCAATTTTGCCCTTTATTTGACACTTCCTTCACTTCTGCGAGGTTAATTCTAATTTTTTTTCTCATAGGAGAATATCTAAATATCATGGAATTATAATCTTTATCTGTGAGGAACCAGTAATTAACCACCTAGTCTGGTGGTTAACCCACTGGTGCCAACATGAAGTGTTTTAAGCATTACACACAAACAATTCAGGTTGCTTAAGTGCAATCTAGGCTTTTACTAACTAAACTTATAGTGGAATTCAGCTCACTTTTACTCTTGGTATCTTATAAGAAAAAATAGATAATTCATGAACTTGTCAACTGCCTTGTATTTCAAGACTGGCTTAGAACAGCTTGAAATTCACTGATGACATCTGTAAATGTGCAATAGCTAGGAGGCTTTCTTAGCTGCCAGAGCTCAAGAAAAGTCGCCTGAGCAGTATGAAGGTTACTTCTATATTACCCTTCAAGCATCAGTGCCCACTATGTTCAGCATGGATTTCCATAATTCATTCCTGCTGACACTGACCCATGTGGATGCTCATGAAGAGAGCCATACCTTACAAGGTTTAGGCAACCACAGTGACAATACTAAAACACCTCTTTCAGTTTCAAATTATGTGCAATTACAAAGATTGCGGCAGTGACACCTCCCAAGTAATCTGAGACCCACACCTCATCCTTTCTACAATACCTTCCCCACAACAAAACACTTTGGAGGAGAATGCTAATCAGTTCTGCTGAAAAGCATACAGGTTCAAAATATACTCATTACCTGCTGCCTGTCTGCTCACACCTTGGCAGTATTAAGGGATCTGCCATCAAGATATTTAAGTCTCTTCTTTTAAGACAGATCATAAGGATAACTCGGCTCTGCTACTGTTGTTTCCCTTCCGACTCCTTCCTTTACTCCCACTCCAGCAGTCAATAAGTCAGACTGTCTTTTGAATCAATTTCTTCATTTGCTGAGTCCACAAATTTGCTGCAGAAATCTAACAAAGTCTGCCTTACGGACAAACCTGGGTAAAAAGCGCATCATGACGTCACCATCCCCAGTGGCTGCAGCTCCTCCAGCTGTACTATCCGCATAGGATCCCGCTCCAGCTATCGGAGAATCTCCAACACGACTGTAGTGAACAATGGAAAATAAAAAAACAACTTTGTCAGTCTCATCGCCTCCAGCTGACTTAGCATTAAACCCAGGAGAACAGAACAGGTAAAGAGGTCAATCCACTGCAGTCAAAAGTCTTACCTTAAAACTACCAATAAAAGTCATCTGTGATAACCTGACTGACCTAAGGCTTAATCCACCTTCAATGCACAATGTTTGTTATTATACTGACTATAGTTAAGCCAGTGAAGTTTAGCCTGTGGGCAACAGTAAGCAGCTGGGGACATTAATATGTTCAATAACTTGTTGCTAAATCCAGAAATTGTCTGACTTGGTTGACAGACAATAATCCTAACTGTGTAGAAAAAGTATCTCAAATACAAAATACAAGCCTGGGGCTCTGATTTTATGTACATTACTTAGGAGACTGTGTACCTCTCCAAAATGCTTATTTGTCTCTGGTGCCTTGCCTTACAAGCTGTCTCACGACGGAGACACTGCTGCTTTTGTCGCTTCATGGTGAATTAAGCAAGCTGAAAAACAAGCATTTCCTCAAGAAACACAGTCTTGCAACTGAATCAATTTCTCAAAATATCTATGGCAAGTGCACAAATATAAGCAAGGCCATTTTGATATCTAGAGGTTAATGTTTTACACCCCAATGACAAGTTTAACATAGGAAACAAGGTGGGGGAAAAAGCTTTTTTATAAAATCAGAAATACTGACCCTGGAATTTTGTGGATTGCACCATTAGTAGATGTCCCAGAAGCAACGGTTCCRTTCACACCAATTACAACCATACCTAAGTTGTTCAACATGGACAAAAYATATTCAGAAGCACTACTAACAAATTTGGCACTATGCTTATCAAACAGAACCACAACGATCAGACTATTCAAATTACCAATATCCGGAAAGACAAGAATTGTTCTCTTCAGGAAAACAAGTTCTTTTTAAAAGACATTTGGAAACCTTTAGGATATATTACAGGAGCTCAAAAAGGAATGTGAAACAGTGAGTGCCACACTGTTCAGAGCTCTACGTTACTGCTGCCCAAGCAGCCACTGCCTCCTGATTACATTTGTTAACCAGCAGAGAACAAGTACCCAGTGTCACATCAAGCACCAACACCATCAGAACAAAAATGTCTGGAAATTATAAATGGCGCTTGAAGGAGATTAAAACAAAAAAAGTCAGAAGCATGAGCTTAAATTTGGCAGAAAAAGACATACTGCCTACCAAARTAAGTAGAATTATATGACAGGCAACCAAATGTATGTATAAGCCTACTCATTGCTAATCTTGTGCTGATAAGAAAGCCCCTGTTGCATACTAAAGAAGTTTAAGTTGTCATTTGGAATCGGAAGTGGGATAGAGCAAGACTTCACCTCCATAGAGCAGGAGAGGGCATGAATGGCTGCTAGCATAAAAATCAAGTACAAACTGAGAGCCAAGAAGCAGAATTTGATCAGCTGAATTCTGTTTCTCTGACCTCACTAAGCAGTACCTACTTCTCACAGAAAAGTTTCCTAACCAGTAGAAGCTAAAAATGTCGAGGCACTGACCCAATGCCATCTGTAAAATGACTGAAAGGGCATCAGTTCCTACCAATGTCCTAAATGCATGCGGAATGAAGACTCTTCTCAAAATGTGCTAGTCACAGAGACATTTCATGTGTAAAACAATGGGGTGGGAGAACTTGAAATACTAATACAAAATACCATCATTTTCTACAAAACAGCTTAGGACTACTTAAGAATAGATCAATTCTTGAAATGTATTTAGCAGATTCCTCTCTCCTGGCTCCCCATAATTCCTGAGTTTTCATGCACTTACTGAAGCTTTTTTACCCCAGTATGTAAACTCACTTAAGAATTTGGCAGGTTGCCTGACTTCTGTAGGCTATTAGTTGATTATTAGTAGGATGAACTAGAAACAAAGTAGAAAGATTCACACTTGAAGCAAGTTGTKAATTCTCCGTATTGCAAAGACCATCAAGCAAAAAGTTCTGGATTGCTAAACTGAGAAAAATCCAAACTAAATCAAAAAGTGCACATTTCAAGATTGCAAATTATAAAGCTTTGAAAGACATTAATCTGTAACTACTGTAGTCCTTTGTCTGATCTCCTCATTAATCAATTTATAGGTTTAGAAATTAACAGTCCTCAATCATTGAACTCTTAGAAGTTTTTGAGACTACTTCTAACCTGTTTTAGGCATGTTAGTTTCTGTAGAAATTTACTGATTGAGACAAAATACAGACTAGAAGAAAAATGAAAGCAAACTTTGTTTTATAAGCTTGAAGAGTGTGATGAACACTGCTTTTAGTCAGCAACAGGACTAGCTGTTTACTCATTCCTTCTACCACCGCAAGGCCTTTTAAGTTGGTCTGACAGCAACAACATAATCAAGATAAACATAATTATTTTTAAACTTAATCAGTTTTCTAAGCATCCACAGCTGCCCAAACAATTATCCCAAGGTATCTGCAGAAAAAGCAATAGGGCAATGAACAAGAGCTAAGGCCAAAAAATGAAGCAAGTGGCTGTGCAGCCAGTGAACTGGGAAAAAAGAACCAAACCCAAATCCTATTTTTAGGCACTCCATCCTAACACGTAAGTTATAGAATCTTGAAAAGACTATAAATAGGAAATAATTCCCATATTAAATACTTTTCTTTAAATCAGTATGATTTAATCTGTAGAGGAATAAGAAAAAGGAGATCAGCACTAGAGTTTCCAAAAGCTGTTACCAATAGTATCATGGTTGTGAACGATTCTTTGTGAGCTGGTCTGTTCTTCTTTGTAAGTTACTTTTTCAGGCCKTTTATATGGTCCACAGGATTTTGAAGAGTCTGGCACCACGTTCTGTAATAAGTTTATGATTTGTATGAATAATATGTTACAATGTATTCAATACAGATACATTTGAAAATACTCCAATCAATACCTATAATCTACCATACAGGCATCAGATGCCAAGTACTTAAACCAGATGCACTGAGATCCCACAAATRATTTTGCTTAATGAATGAACACTGATTTCTGGTATTATACAGTAAAAAGATTTTCCTACTGTAAAATTACGTTTTTCAAATTAAAGACTCTCCTTTGCTCAACTGACTGATCAAGAAAACCCCAAACCAGTGTATAGACATGCAGAAATGTGTAATGCCCAAAGCAAAAAAAACCCCATCCAAGCCAAGTTCACCATTTGATAAATTTAATGGACAGCTGTACTAACCTGATGTATTCATAGGTCTGTTTAAAGCCTCTCAACTATATCAAGATCTTAATTACTACCGTAAGATTTTCTTTCAGAAATGCATACATACATCAAAAAATACATATACTGCTTTGTTTACTTTGGTAAGTCCTGTCCCAATTAAGAACTCAAAAATAACTCCCACACAAAACACTACTGCAGCACAGTCAAAACCAGCAGGATTGAAGAAATAAGAACTTGACACATACATTCCCAAGTCTATCAAATGCTTGTTAATACCAAGTTTTTTTCTGTTTAATGAGCAAAACTTCTTTTTCGTCACATATAAAATGTAGCTCTGAAAGGAAATGGCAATGCTGCATTACTGACTTTCTCTTCACCCTCTTCACTGCACTGTACCTTCCAGTAGTTGGGCTGACAGCTTTGATTAAGCCATTCTGAATAAAGTGAAAGTGATTTCTGGGTAGTTAAATCTTCATATGGAAACCCCATTCTCACAGCAAACAGGGAAGCTTGAAAAACAAGAACAAAATAAAAAAGAAACATTGATTTATTCACAGTTTTATGTATTTTATGGTAATGCATTCGTGTTATGTTTTTTAGAAATCAAGAAATTCTACATCCTTTTTGGAGATGAGAAGTACATCTTCTGGGAGCAGTATCAGCCACTAGCGATATATTCAACTGCAGTAGCCAAATCTCACTTCACAGGCAGTAACATCAAAGTTTTCTCATCAAAAGGAGAAACAAATTCAACTACGTTAAACAACTGGACACAAGCAAGAGTGTGGAGCAAGCATGGCCTGGGCTGTGCGGGTCACAGAAATAAGTAAGTCATAAAAACTTGAGTACATTTCCCTAAAAAAGATAGTTTTTATGAAATATAAGTAATATAGCAGCATGTTTGTCATTAAAACTCTGATATTTGAAGAAAGCAATTCAACAGCTTACAGTATTGCAGTCCTTCCTTGCAGCTTTAAAAGTTACTGCTTCCTTGTTTTGGAAATTAATATGGTACGTGCCAAGGGAGTAAAAGACATACCAACACATGCAATGAAAGAATGCTACACTTCTAAGAATGACTTTTATCTTTAGGCAGAGGGAAAAGAAAAAAGATTAACTCTTCTTTCATCTTTTATCTATAGATACCTTTGATATTACCCAGTAACAGATACTGTTGCTAGGTTCAGATGCTTGAATTCACATTACCAATCCTTGATAATAATGTCACTGTAATATACAGCTGAACAAACTTACCCAGTCCAAGAATTAAGAGAAGCCTTTAATTAGTGCTGGACTGCTTTTCTAGGTTTTTCTTAAAAACTGACACAATTAAAGTACCTTAGCCCTCAGAGGAAAAGAAAACTGACAGCTTCAATTAAATAGATACTTACAGAACAAATAGACAGAATATGTTTTTTGGTTTTTGTTTGTTTTGTGTTTTTTGGGGGGGATGGTGTTTTTTGTTCGGGTTTTTTTCTTTTTTTTGGTTAAGGTAAAATTGAGCTTGTGCATTTTTGTCAGGAATTTTTTCATAACTTTTGAAACATTGTTTCTATTCCAAAAAGCAGAGTTCCTAATTTTTACTCTCTGGACTATTTGCCTGGATTATTGGTCTAAGTATTGCAAGAACAAAAAGAGAAAAAGGTCACTGTGAACCTTTCCCATCTGCTGGAGACAAGAAAATTTCTTGGAAATAACTAAATTACTTTTTTCCTCACTTGTAATCATCCTGCACCGAATAACCCTCACCAGACTGTCAACATGGATATACGTGTCTTTTACTGCTAGTTTTCTAAGACTTGCCCTAAAGAATTTAGGTAACAAATGGAGAAAGGAGTTCTTTTAACAGTTCTTTTTACTGATGGTTATCTGTATCTGTTCCACAAAAGCTACACCATTGGCAAGCAGATCCAGAGAACTGCAGGCTGGTCAGCCTCACCTTGACCACGGAGAAGATGGGACAATTAACCTTGGAAATAATTTCTGAGCAAATGAAGGACAAGCAGATGATTAGGAATAGTCATCATGGCTTTGCAAAAGAGAAGTCCTGCTTGATCAGCCTGATAACTCCCTGTGATGAAATAACAGGTCCAGTGGATGAGGGGAGAGCAGTGGCTCTCTTGACTCCTTCTTGACTTCTGTAAGGCTTTTGACACTGGCTCCCGTAAGATGCTCAAAGAGAAGCTGATGAAGTATGAACTGAATGCGCCAAGAGTGAGGACTGAAAACTGGCTTAAGAGCTTAGCTCAGAGAGTTGTGATCAGTGGTAGGAAGTCCAGTGGGAGCCACTAACTAGCAGTATCTCACTAGGGTCAATACAGTGTCCATAAAGCAACTTGGCAGGACAATGTTTGCTTCTGAGGGGCAGCAAGGTGAATGCCAGCCAGCAACATGCCCTTGCATCAAAGGCAGGTAACAATGCAGGTTGGGCTCCAGAATTACAAGGAGTGCTGCCAGCAGGTCAAGAAAAGTGATCTTTTCTTTTACTCAGTCCTGGTGAGGCCACACACGCAGTATTGGGTCCAGTTCTGAGCTGCCTGGTACAAGAGACATGGACTTACTGGACATAGCCCAGCAAAGGGCCACAAAGGCGACTCAGGGGCAGGAACATCTCTCCTATGAGGAAAGACTGAGAGAGCTGGGACTGTTCAGCCTGGGGAAAAGAAGGCTCAGGGGGATCTCATCAGTATATATAAATATCTCAAGGAAGGGTACAAAGAGGACAGAGCTAGGCTGGTTTTGGTGCTGCTCAGTGACGGGACCAGAGGCAATRGGCACAGACTGAAACATGAACAATAAAAAACACTTTTTCACTCTCAGTGTGACCAAGMATTAACACAGGTGTGCACAGAGAGGTTTTAGAGTATCCATCCCTGGAGATATTCAAAACCATCTGGGCATGGTCCTAGAAAACCAGCTCACTAGTTGAGCAGGGGGGCTGAACCAGAAGACTTCAAGTCCATGGCAACATCAACCATCCTGTGATTCTGTAATATATCATCTTACTTAAGCTGTCTATGTAGCAAAGGTTTTAAAATACTTAAATTTCAAATTTTTTTTAGTCAAAATAAATAAAACTGTGAAGGCTATTTAGGTGTGTTTGCATTCTAACAGCTTCCAACATTGTTTTTCACATCAGAAGTAAAATTTTTGTATTACTTTCACTTAAATTTTACACACAGTGTAAAGTGTAAAATCACAGGAACAGTGTACAGGTCATATGTTTTAAAATTATCAACTCATTGAAATTAATGCATATCACAGCTTGCCTCTCCCTCTCTAGTGTCAATCATTCATAAAAATGCAATTTTAGAAGAGATGCAGACTTCCCTGGATTATATCTCTAAGTATATTCAAATAAAAGTGTGGTTTAGTTATTGGGAGAATAACCTCAGCAATTTTGCATCTTGAATAAGAAATGCCTGCAGAGATCATATGCATTTATATGAAAAGATTCTACTATTCTAGTTAGCTTTCAGGTAAAAATGTAAATATTTTTATTTAGAAAATAAACTGTTCTTTCTCTCATGTGCTGATTTGAAGTTTCAAAATGTATTTTCTCTTTACTCATCTTCATCTGGTAAAGACAATCACAGTTTTTTTATCCAAGTTCCAATTTCCAGAAAAATACATTTCTTTACAAGAAATAGTCTTTGTCAATTTCTCCACTGCTTTCATTAATTCACTAGCATTAAACACCATCTCCAGTTTTTACTCTGATAAATCTTCAGCTTTTCTGTCGTTCTTTTGCTACTACTGCTAAACATTTTCTTCTGAGGAAGTTATCACTGACACTAAAAACTTGGCATAACAACTTTGCCCACATGCCTCCATTATGCAAAGAGCTATCTTCTTAGGCTGGAAGACATATTTTAAATCACATTTTAATTCTCCTGTTTGTTCATTTTCRGTATCTTTTCAACTCATTCTACTGATCAAAATTTAAAAATACTTTGGTAACTAGCAATGACAGGCAAATAGGAGTATTTCTTCCTCCACTGTTTTAACACATGACCAATTTCTTTTTCTGCATTACCTGCAAAATCTCTCTCAGCAAAGCCACTTGTAATCATGGTCAACTGGCTTAAATAGAACCTGCAAGTCTCTCTGTTCTGACCTTCTGTCAAACTGTATGCTCACCTCCCAATACTGTTCCATTTTACTCCATCAAAAAATTGCTGTTACACTTCTGTACATACAAATTCCTTCAAGAATCTTTTATCTTTTCTTATMAATTTCATAGCACTTGAATAACATTAATGCTCAGATCTCAATTTCCACACTTATCTCCATATTTCTCTCTGAGCAGGTGCAGGCTCAGAGCAGGCTTCTTAAAAGCCAAGAAACCTGTTCACCACTGATGTACCTCTGGGGAATGTACATCTCTTTTTTAACTGGTGTTATTTTACCAACAGCAGCCTGTGTTTAAAAAGCTCAACTAAGCATCCAATTTACTTCTGCTTGTTTGTTGTGCCTGGGACTACAGTTTTAATGAGTTTTTTTTACATTTAAGTTCGCATTAATATTTTTAAACTATGAAATATAGTAATCATGTCYATTATATAGCAAAATATTAAAATGTAACTCCAGTGTCTATTAATTCTGCTATTCCTTAGAAAAAGTTACTTCATGGTTTTAAATATAACACTTCCATCCAACAGTTTCTATAGTGTCTTATAGTTTCTATAGTCATCTTTGATATTAGTAAAGCCTTGACACTACAAGTCARTATTTGCAGTTAGACTGGTGTAAAAAACATAAAATGATTTTTTTCCTTCTAAAAGTAAATCTATTTCTGACACACAGAATGACAGGACACTTTTGAACTATTTGAGTAGATAGATTTGATTGTCAAGGAATGCTTCCACCGATATTAACAAGATTAAAACATGGCAATTTTAACAAGAAGTGTTTCAAAAGGAGGGTTTGATTTTGAAACAGTTAAAGGAATAATTACCTGACTCTCCCACTAGTAAGGTATGCTTAGTGTATTCAATGACCTTTCGTGCTACACCAATTGCATTTTTCACACGTCTGAGGCCAGCAACCGCCCCAACTTCCATAGTGTTGCTGGAAACAAGGAATATTTAAAACTTATTAAAAATACAAGAATAATTGCACTTTTTTTAGTAGACAAAATACATTCTCATCTAAATCAAAAAGCCTGCTCCTTCAACATAATGCTTTAATTGTTCTATGCTATAGACAGATAGCATCACATTAGTGGGGGAAAAATTTTCTACATATATTGTTTCCTTTCACAGGCTTGGAGATGTTGCTCAARTAGCAATAACTCCATTCACAGTAATATTTTCAGTAGAATAACTATTTTTTTTACATAAACTCATAACATGAACCACACATTCGCAATTACTTTTTCATTGGGACAGCTTTAAATAGCAAATAAATTATTGAAGACAATTGGTCCAAAAGTGAAACATTATGGACTGAACGTAAAAGGAAGTTAACAATGTTACGAACTATCTGTTTTGCAACTGCTATATCTACAACCAGATTACTGCACTACAAGTGAAGAGTCATTTCCTACTCTTCTAGCAATCAGGTATGTTATTTTTCCTACTTCCACAAGTTAACTTGTCCATAGTCAGTCCCAAAGCAACAAGATCCTGCAACAACCTWTAAATGTGCAAAAAATTTTCTCCATACAGTTTCCTTACCCATCCATAATCATGGCATCCAGAGTTGTTTCTCCACTTTCATCTGGGCTTCCTCCGTACCCCACACTCCCATCGCACTGATCAATCTCACACTGACCACAGCCTCTCTCAACCGCATCCAACTCCGAACCTCCCGACTGCAATACTCTCCAAGCTGTAATCAACACGAATTATAAAATGTCACTTGGAAAAACAGTTTCCACTACTGCATTAAAAATGGACATGACGCAGATGCACTACATATGTGGATAAAAACCAGTAAACTGTAACTTACAGATTACAAGGTCAAAATATAAATATAACCAAAAGAATGTAAAGCATCACTTCTCTAAATATTCTTTTTCTTGCATATCTGATTAGTGTTTCTGACTGTGAAACTGGGCTTTTCTTCTGAGGTGTTCTTTACTAACAATCATTCCATGTTCTCTGTATCAAATAACTTTCTCTGCCCAGAACCAATCATTACTATATCACTGCTTACTTAAAGCCTTCTGGGGGAAAAAAGGAAGAAAAACTTTCATCTCAAAAGAAAAAAAACCCAAAAAAACCCCTACCCGAAAAAGCTTCACATGAGACTATTAAGTGTCCAGCTGCAGATAAAAAGGTACATCAGTTACCTACATCAGTAACTACACAAGCACAAAACCAAAGTGGAAATTACATGTAAAAATTAGTCTCCATATTCTCCTGCTCAATCTTTAGTCTTCTATTCTTTAGGGTCTAGATCATGGTGCAGTTTTGTAAGACATTACAGACATGTCAAATGACATGACTTGAATACATTGAGCCTGAAGGCCCCGCACATACGAGATTTCACAAGGCTGGACCTAAGGCAAGATCTTCCAAGATGCCTGAGGTTGCTGCCACTGACAGTCACTGTCTTGCTTTGTGCTGGCTCTGGTGCCCTGTCACTCGACAGATCTACCCTGGGAGGCAGCAAATGCACACAGGCCAGCTCTTTTTGGCACCCGTGAACCACCTCAAGAAGCCTCATGATCACATACACTGTATGCAACTGTATGAAGTTGCATGAACCAGGGAAAAAATAAGATTTAACAACATGCATCCACCTCCACATATGCTTGTCTCTATTATGAACTTCAGTGTGAGGAGTACTGGCCTGATTCCTATTACCTTTATTACAGTGAGAACCTTAACACAGGCTTTCAGAAGCTGCCAAGCAAGGGCCACGAGTCTATTTCACTTCTGACCTATACAAGGCTTTATTAGTAACTCATTTCACAAGCAAGAGTTCTGTAAATTCTAATTTACAACTCGACTACGATAAAATAATCTGCAAGTCTCTTAAAATTACTATTCACAGCTAATTTATGCTGCCATAGGAAAACCCGCTTTGACTGTTAATAGCACACCAGAAAACAAGTTAAAAAAAAAATAACTACCTAAATCTTTAGGGGGCAAGAAGGAATCTCAGAAAAAGAAAAAAAAAAAAAAACCAACCAAAAAACACAACCCTTTAGAAAATACTGCAAGCAGCCGCAAGAGTGCAAACCACATTATTAGCAAAAGTATGCCTTTCATGGAGCTTTTCCACAGTTCATAGCTCCACTAGTTTTTGGGGTTTTTTTGTTTTGTTTTGTTTTTTTTTTTTTAACATTATTTCCCAACGTGGAAAGTTAAACTGCTTGCTTGAAGGCTCTCAGCGTCAGACAACCATCAATGGAAGGAAGCTCTTTCCCGTAGAAGGGATAACCCTTTCCAAGCAGCCGAGGCACCACCCGCCGCCTCCCSGAGCCAGCGCCGCTCGACGGCAGCCGGGTCACAGCCCGCTCCTTCTGGCCACACATCGGCCCCCATCAGAGATTTATTTTTCCCTAAGCAATCCCAGCACCCAGGTGCGCCCGGCGACTCCTCAGCAGGAAGGCGCTCCCGGAGTGCACCGAGCGGCGTGGCTCAGCATCGCCCCACCCGCCCCGCTCCAGCCCAGGCCCCGCGGGGACACCTGTCTCTGCGGCCGTCCTAAACGCCCAGGTGTTGATGACTACAGGCAGGGCGGCGGCAGAGGCGGCGCCCGCCGGTGTCAACACAGCGAGGAAAAGAAGCGCAACCAYGCCCCACCGCCGACCCCTGCCACCTCCCGCCGCCATGGCCGACGGGCGCAGCCCCACTCCGCCGCCTCCAACCAGAAGGCTCCGGCGGCGCAGGCGCGGATTGCCCGGCCTGGCCGCGACCGAGCTGCCCGGAGCGGTGCCGGGGTGGCCGCGGGTAGGGGTCGGGCACTGCGGCACCAGGAAACGGGGTCGTGGCCAGGAAAAACCTAAACTCTCAGCAAAGGCCGAGGCCCATGCCCACGRCAGATTAAAATACAATTTGCATTTCACAGACTCACAAAATGATTTGGGTTGGAAGCGACCTTAAAGATGACGTCGGTCCGACCCCCCTGCCATGCGCAAGGACACCGTGCGCTAGATCAGATTGCTCAGGGAGTCATCCAACCTGGTGATGAGCACTACCAGGAGTGGGGCGTCCACACCTTATCTTGGGCAGTCTGTTCCGGTGCGTCACTACTCTCACAATAATGAATTATTTCTTAACATCTAATCTAAAGCTACTCTCTTTCAATCTGAACCCATTCCTGTTGACCTGGCATTATATGCTCTTCTAAATAGTCTCACCTCATCTTTCCAGTAAGTGACCTTCATGTACTAGAAAGGCACAATTGGGTCACTCTGAAACCTTCTCTTTTCCAAGCTAAAAATCCCAATTCTCCTGGCTTTTCCTCACAGAAGTAGTGCTCCATGCCTCTGATCAACTCCTCTAGACTCGCCCCAAAAGGTCGATGTCCTTCCTGTCCGCAGAGAGACGGATGCAGTACTTGAGGTGGAATCTCACCAGAGCACAGTAGAGGGGCAGAACCACCTCCCCTCGACCTGCTGGCCATGCTGCTTTTGATGCAGCTTTTTTATTGAGTCTGGATGTGTGTTACAGCCAGGCTGCTTGTGCAGGGCCCTCACGTGCTGATGAGATCCCCTGTGGTGCTGGAGTGTGGGAGCGAGCTGTGGCTGGGTTGGAGGGGCTGTGTGTGGTGAGGGCAGGGTGGGCTGCAGGGTGAGGGCAATCTCTACCTAAGCTAATGAGATCCACTTGCAGCATCTTCATGTGCTACCTTGTTAACGCAGATGTCTTTGTCAAAAGTGTCTCGTGGCACAGAARCATTTCTGTGAAGGGCATGTTTTGCGACCTTCTGCAGCCAAATAGTTTGTGGGAAAATTTGTGAAAAGCATTGCTTTACAACAATCATAAAACATAAAACAAGTAATTTTGTAATTTTGCCCCTCCCATTCAAACTTTTCATTATAGACCATTAGCAATAGTTTAAAGCCATTTGTCCAATTACCATAGCACTCTGACAGTTTCCAGGTCCAAAGGCTCACCTTCCGTAAGCATAGTTCACTGGCTTGTATTCCAGGCTGTTTACATTCAAGGAGTCACTGATCATCAATCAGCTGTTATATCTGAACAACATGAAAATAGGTGACTTTTGCTTCTATGTGGATATAAAAGCTATTTTTTTTTATCAGATACTCTTTGACTTGTCCTCATTACTCCTTTTCCATATATAATGGGCCAAACTCAATTACACTTTAGCAGCAATGTTGCTGGTGTTGTGTTTGTACTAAGAGGGGATACTTGGACCTCATGTGTGGCATCCTCAGGTTTGTAGGTGTATGTAAATTGTGAGTGCACCCAAGCTGGTTTAAGAAGCTGGAAGCAATATTATTTTTATTATAACAAAATGTTCCACAGCCTTTGGAATTAAATGATTGCCACAAAGGAAATGTATTATCCTTTATTACAAGAAATCACAAAATAAAACACAGTATTGGGTTTGACGTTAGTAATACCATATCCTTGGTTTCAGTTGTTTCCCAAAAGCAAAACTACAAGTAGTCTAGAGAAACCTTTACTCAGGTAAATATTGTTAGCTGATTTATTTGTGCTATTACTGTTCTTATTTCTGTCATGTATTTCTGTATAAAGCTGTTAGACAAGGGAGATGGGCCAAAATACAGATCCAAATTAATGTTTGCTGAAGGGAAATAGAAGAAAATATTTTCAGGAAATAAATTTAGTAATAAATAAAAAGAAAAATATTATCCAACACATTCATGAAAGGGGTACATTAATGATATTTTTTCAAATATGGTTTTGTTTTAGCAAGATAAAATGGACCATTATGAAAGAAAACCACTTCAACATGGGTGTCATTCAAGCAGAAGTATTGACTGTGATGGTTTCATTTGCAGGCTGAGGCTACACAGCTGTGGAGAGTATGTTTTGTATGACTTGAAACAGCATAATATTATGCTTTGAGGCGCATGCAGAAATTCAGTTGGTTTGATTTCTGTTGCATACTTTCTAACTGGCACTCAAATGTGAATGACTTCCTGCTAGAAATAAATGCAATCTTGAATCCATGCTTTACTGTATACAATATTATTTAATATAATGTATTTTTATGCTGTGTGTGAACAAAAAAAAGCAAACACTACCCTCAGATACAGTGTGTAAAACCAACAGTGAGGTCAATAAAACTCTCATTCTGCATGCTGAAGGCTAAGGAGAATTTGAGCAGTGTCTGTCCAAAACAACTCTGCAAGTCAGTTCTGCTACATCCATAGGCTCTTGGTTTACATTCCATCTCCAACATAAAGTATTTTAAAATTGGTCTTGGGATTTAAAACTTCTTTGTATTTTCTTAAAAATTACCTGTTGTTTTATATCAGTTTGTCCTGCATCAGCAATGGAAACGCTCCTTCATCTGTTTGCCCCCAGTACTTACTGGTACCTTAGAGATAAGACTATAGCTAAGATAAATGGTGATATGGAGTAAGCTTTTGTCTCTGCTGCTAAAAAGCAAATCAGTGTTTCTACAAGGACAATTTTTGTTCAGATGTATAATGTTGAAAGAATATTCTAAAGAAAGACTTGTATGGACAAGGGATTACTGAGAGGATCTAAAGCAGACAACTTTGACTGGGTGGCACTGAGTAATTAATGAAAAGCACAGGAGGAAATTCACCACTTTTGCTGAGAGGGTCTGTTCCTACAGTGGCCAAATTCTGACCTCAATTATATCTGTGTGACCTTATCTAGTAACATCTGTTAAAAAAAGCATGCCATCCTTTTTGCTGTCTCAAATTTTTGGTGAGTCTGCTTTGGAAACTAATTAAGTATTGTAGTTATATAGTTATATAGTTTTATAGTTATATAATTTGTTTACATTTAATCTTCATTTTACTTACATTTTCTAATAATAACATGGACACATGAAAAGTAAATCTTGGAATCATTTTCTTAATAAAAGTAATCAAGTTTGATTAGCAYTTGATAATTAAAATATATATTTTAATAACTGTTGTTTTCTATTCTGAGTAGATTTGTAGAAGCACTGTACTCTTGGGTTTTAAAATTCTCTTTTTTTCTCTTTCAATCCTTTTTTTAGCTTCTTAGAATACATGTTCTCTCATTGACTGAACAACGCTGGAAAGAATGAATAGATTTATTCATAGTGAGTGTAGCCATCATCTACTCAACTCTACTAGGAAAGACCCTTATGCCTTCTCTCATGCTTGAGAAGAGCTATATGTAAACATTTTCAAAGCTACTTAGTTACCCTCACCTGAATCCTCTATAAAACTCATCATCAGTGTGTGATCTGTCATGTGTATAAAATTTGAATCACATGATTATACAGACCTCTGCTTCCCATACTGTTTTCATGTCTTTCCCAACAATCACTTTCCATGTAGTATGTGTTTTCTTTCACTTCTACAGTCAGGTCTTTTGGATATGGGTTGTCATTTCATTTTTAGTTTGTACAGTATATAGCGTCAGTGCGTYGTACCTTAGCACTCTCTAATCCTTGGCACTATGTAAATGAGTATTAATATCGATGAGAAAAAAACACAGATGCTAATTACAAAAAACAAACATCCATCAATAATAACTAAAAAATAATAGCGATTGCTAAATTTCCTTTAGTTACCACTTCTTTTTTTTTTAAATTCTATTCTAAGTTATAGTAGCTTCCTTTCTTCCTTTGTAACCTCAAAATTATTGTCATATCATGTCACAGAATAATATGTTCTTACAGTATTATTTTGGTCTGTTGTTGCATTCTGTCTCAAAACAAGTTATGGGTAATATATTTCCTTTTTGTAATTGCTATACTCATCCACTGCTGTAATAAGGTTGTCATATGGAACATATAATCAAACACATTACATTATTGGAACTGCTTTTTTTTATTACAACTCTTTGTAACTTTCTGATGTCTTYGTAAATGTAATCCATGACAATAATAAACTTGGACAAATACAGCAAGTTACTGTTTGCTTCAGCCAAGTCTGAAAGTTATCTTGACATTGTTAAATGACTGTATTTAAAGTTTTCAGTGTGGGAAGGAAGCTAGCCACAAACCTGTATTATACAAATATTAATATGGGAATGTGGCAATTTACAAAGTCTGTATCTGTTTCAAATGGTTTGAGTATGCCTACTAAGATTTTTAAACAGGATTCTAACTGAGGGTTATCCAACACCAGAGCATGTGTCAACATACACAACACACTGATATTTTCATGGTTAGAAGAAAAGCAATAAGTAGTTGCTTTAGGAGGTGATTTACAATGTGGGAGCCCCTGCTTTGAAAAGAAAACTGTGTGTTGTCTGTGCTTAGTGCTTTTTCCAAAGTGCTTTTCTGTAGTCTTTGTTAGGACACAGTAATAACATCATTCTGTGCTTTTTCCATGCATCCCAGTGTAGACACAAACCTCCTTGTTTTATACTGGCTTCCAGGTTTCCTACTTAAGTTCAGCCACATAAAGCTTTCTAAGGTATCACATCATCCTAATGCTCAGTATAAACTGAAACTTCAGTTCAACTACTGTAAAACTTTGAAGACATTTTAAGAATCTATCTGAGAAATAGTAAAGTACCCTGTGAAGTCTGACCTAGGTATATCCACAGCACTGCAGTGTTTCTTAACCTCTGGAGGAATGTACAAATCAGGTCAAAGTTTTTTTGAGAATCTGTTTCAGTAATATACCAGCCATTCAATTACTGTCCTTTGCAAGTTCCACTGGACTCTGATACCATTCACAGGAGTAACTAAGTG